CATTAAGTATCAGTTATACCTTTTTACAAAGGTGTGTTTGAACTACGAATCTGATGTTTTCCCTCAGGTTTAGATCTGCTGAATATGCAAAGTGTTCCATAATTCATTCTTTATGCCTCTTTCTGTACTGAGTTAAACTTTAACCCTTTCCTATACCAACTGTATGTGTGTGTGTGTGTGTGTGTGTGTGTGTGTATGTGTATGTTAGACCAGTTTATGTGTGTATGTAGGATGTTAGACCAGTTTATGTTTATGTAGTATGTTAGACTAGTTTAAGTGTTTATGTAGTTAATAAAACCTTACTTGTATCACACTTGACGTGTTCATTGTTTGCTCATAACCGGAGTCACTAATCATGCAGATTTACGCTACAAGCTTTGTAGAATTGTACAGTAAGAAAGTTATTTCCTTTAACCAGGAAATTAACGTTCTTAGAATTGACAAGACAGTTGACCCTGAGAGGTCAGCTAAATATCTACAGCGGATCTAAAATATGAATAGTTAATTATAACTAGTTATGGTTAGTTATTCATATTTCCTGTCATGAGCTGATTCGTTACACAATGTACAATGTATTTTTTGCATACAATACTACAATAAAAATTGGAAAATAATATTTTAGGCATGTCATCTATGGAACATTGAATGTGCTACGTGATAATGGATAAAAATGAACCAGAGCCATACTATATATGATATTCTCTATATTGGCTGCATTCACAGTTTTCACTGCAATCCAGTGTCACAATGTGGTTCCCAGGCAAGAAACACATTTATGCAATTCCTTATTTTCAACTCAAATATAAATATGAATTTTTCATAAAAATAAAGATTTCTCATTAACAAATGCAATCATTAACAAATTGAATTTTTTGAATGATAAAGGGCAATTTCTCCAGACTTCACACAATGCACGATTCCAGAACAGATTTTAAAATTAACACCAGAGTAAAGTTTGGCCAAGAAAAAGCTTTTTATTGGTTCATTCAAAATCCTCCTAGTTTACTTTAGTCTGATCCCTAAAAAATAATGAACTAGTCAAGTCAAATGACTTGACAGAGTGTTGAGGTTGACTTATCGTACCTCACTGAGACAAAGAGATACTGTATGTGTGATGCCTTTCCCATCTAGTGTTAATCTTTTCTGAGCCGTGAACTCACCAGACGCGTTCTTCAGATAACCGTTCGAGTCCACTGATGTGTACATGACATACGGGCCAGGCTGGTTCACACCAAAGGGCTGTGGGATAGATAGAAGGGATTAATAACAAATACAATACACATACAAAGAAAAATAATTGGGAAACGCCATTAAAATCATAAAATAACTGTCTCTAAATGTGCCATCAAATTAGAAAAATTTTGCAGGCCAAAAAAAAAGTGATGTATGAATTATGAATCACTCACAAACCAAGCAGCTTCGTGTAACCAACTTAAACCAACTGCGAAATCTATGTGGGGAAATCCTTCGCCCTCATATAAAATTCCCAAACACGTCGATTCCTATTGGAATGACTGGAAATTTAAGCAATTCAACCACATATCCGATCATACCAATAAAATCCTCCTTGGAAATGTTCATTGCAGTAGCCTGGGAAATTGCAAATTTGACTGTTTCTTGGCAGACTGCTACAATCCAGAATATCGGAGCTCCTCTGACCTCTGATGTTGGCCAGACGGTGATTTTGTTGACCCTGGCTGCTTTTATGCAAGTGTGTGTGTGTTTTTAGTCTCGAGTCCACACAGATCACCACAGGTTACACAGGCTCAGTTCTAGTCTCCTGCACATACTGAGATACATGAGAGATGTCTATCAGTATCCAGGAGTAATGCGGGGCCAGCACTGGCTCAGCGCCGCGGAGATGGGGCAGACCTGCTACATGCCAGCTTCTCAATTATGGATACTTTTCTCTGTGCAGACAATATGGGAACTGCAAATGAACAGCATGCCAGGAACAAGTGGGCATACATTTTTAAACAGATGTATTTGTGGGGCATGATTATGGATGGGGAGGGGTGAAATGATTCCCCAGTTGTAAATTATGTTTCCCCGTTGCTGATGAATCCAACCAATAGACAATGTTGACAGGAAGTGAGACAATCCTGGAGCTGAAGCTCTCAGTCATCCAGTGCCAGACTGACATAAATGAGGGAGAGGATGATCTGGCAGAGTCAGATACAGATGAAAAACATTCAGACAAACATAACAATGAGGGCAAACTACATGGCCAGAGAACATGACGTCAGTGAGACCTGAAGCCCCACATACTTCTTTGGACCTGACAACCTACCCCATCGCCAATGTCACGAATCCGGTCCATGAACTTCCAATTTCATTGACTCTCGCACTACACACTGTTGCACATCACCCCGGACTACATTTCCCATCATGCATTGCACTGATTGCACTCAGCACGGATTGCACACAGCTGTTTACACCAATTGCACCCAGCTGTTTCATATCACTCCCTCACTATTTAACACTCACTCTGATCCCTTCCCTCTGCCGAGTATTGTTCAGCGTTTATCACTCCCCTAGCGATAGAGACACTACAGAGCCCTCGTTTGTTTCCTAGCCTTAGCCTTAGCCCTAGCCCTAGCCCTAGCTCGGACTGTTTGTTAATAGAGTTTTTTTGCGATGGCATACATTAACCTCTGAGGGCTAAGCTTCGATGCGAGGGTCCACGTTCATCACTCACTCAGTTTATAGACTATGCTTTGCTGACTACTGGTTCAGCGTTCACGGTGACTGAGACTGATGTCTGTGACTGAGGTGATGGCTGAACCAGAGCAAGCTCACAAAATGGCGGCAGTTGCGGAGCCTGATCACAAGATGGCGGACACAACCGCATCTAGTCAAGCCACAGTTGTTCTTCCTGAGTCTAGTCAAACCACAGTTGTTCTTCCTGAGTCTAGTCAAACCACAGTTGTTCTTCCTGAGTCTAGTCAAACCACAGTTGTTCTTCCTGAGTCTAGTCAAACCACAGTTGTTCTTCCTGAGTCTAGTCAAACCACAGTTGTTCTTCCTGAGTCTAGTCAAACCACAGTTGTTCTTCCTGAGTCTAGTCAAACCACAGTTGTTCTTCCTGAGTCTAGTCAAACCACAGTTGTTATTCCTGAGTTCAGTCAAGTCACAGCTGATCTTCCTGAGTCTGGTCTAATCACAGTTGAGCATCACGAGTCTAGTCAAGTCACAGTTCATGATCATGAGTCAAGTTTAGTCACAGCTGATATGCATGAGTCTAGTCTAATCACAGTT